GTGTGTGGTGGTGGGGGGGGGGGCTGTGTGACAATAGCAGAATTCAATGAAGTTGCGTTTACAGGCAACAGATGTTTGATTTAAAAAAAGAAATCTTTTGTAATATTCAGGAGCACTGCAGAGATTTACACAAGAGCAAATCTCTTTGACCGAGGTACAATGCTTTTGAATTGGCTTCACTGTGTGCAGTGCTCTGTCGGTAAAACACTACTTTTGATATGAGCTCTGAAAACAAACAGCCCTGTGTGAACAGTGAGTATCACAACTTGTGGATTTATGTCACTTTTAAACAATGCGGCAGGGAGTTTGAACATAAGGTCAAGTATTCTGTGCACTGATTATGATAACAGGCCGGGGCTGAGCTGCACAGTGCACGGGCTGCTGAACAACAGCTTCAGGGGATGTTATGTGTCAGAGCAAAACTGACCGTGTGTGTTTTGCCCTCGCTATTCGGGCTCTCCTCTCTCCATGTCAGCTGGGCCGAGTGACTGAAAGGCACTGGATTACGTACACTAGGGGCCAATGGGTCAGTGGATAAGAAGTCTTCTCTATTACCACAAATCCACAGATTAAAAGTAGTGTCGAGAGCCAGCGCTGCCCTGGGGGCAAGTGGGTCTGAAACACAACTCGGAGAGAGATTTGGCTTAACCCTTCTGTCACGRCGAGGCCTCGTGGCAACACATGAGTGAAGTGACTCCTCTTTAAGTCCTGCCGCGTGGAGCAGGCTTTTTAACAGCGTCCGGGTCGTTCAGGGGTTACTGGTGATGCCGCTGACATGATATCTTAATTGGAAAGTTAATCCTGTGGCTGGGGCAGCAGTGCAAAGGGAAACCAACAAAACCCTGGCAGCCTGTGAACATGCAGGGATATTTGCATCCGCAGCCTTTGTCGAGCCCACCTCCTGAAATTAACACTCGAGTTCTCAGGTTGAGTTCACTGCCTGCCTTTCATCCCCTCTGTAAGTGGTCAGAGATGTTACCACKTTGGCATTTATTGTGAGTAAACTCTTTGATGGGCCTGCACATGTGTATGCATGCATCTCAGTGGACATAAAGAGCAGCAGTAATGGAGCAGGGGGTGGGGGGAGCAGATGGAAAGATGCTGTAGGTCTGTAACAGGAAGGCCGTTGGTGACAGGCTCTCGTAGCGTCTCGTCTGCTCCAGTGATCTCAGGGAATCTGGGTCATATCCAGCCTGTTCGTAACTGTTCCCACTCCTTCCCTCCCTCTGCCCGTGGCGAGCTGCAGCTCACATGCTAATGATGACAGAAAGGAAATGTGCTCTCGCTGCATAAAGGAAAGTGGTGTGCARCAGGGAGCAGCACACCTCCTCACCTCTGTGCACATCTTCAGACACAAGCTGTCAGACGTTTCAAACTTTACTCCATAAAACTGAAAGAGTTGGCGCTGGAGCTACACAAACACATTAATTACTATCTAACCTTCAATAATCCTCTTAAATTCTGTTTTGTAAAGCGTGTTTGTTTAAATGGTAATAAACCGTATACATCTTTTCGCTTTAGTATAAAATTAATTTATATATTTGAGTCTCAAAGCTCCTTAATCTTGCCAGTGGAAGTCAACAAAACTTTTAATGAGAAAGGTGACTGAACAATTAATTTTCTGAAAACATTTTAAGACTTCTTAACCAACTATTTACTCACACGTTTCTAGTAAGTTTTATTTAATTAAAACCACAGCGACAACCCAACACATAAGTAAAGTTTTTTTCTTTATATTTTGAGGCTTAAATAGTTTAAATTAACTTTTTGTGACTGTTCATGTTGGTTTTGATTAATAACATGTTGYGTTTCATTTATTCTTTATTTAACGGAATGGTTGAGATGAACCTACTCTCTCTGGTCAGCATGAGTACAAATCAAAAACAATCATAAATAAGACAGCATCACGCAATTAAAAATGGAATAAAATGAAGCAACAWAACAGGTATCAGGGATAAAATCAAGTTCAAAAACTGACAGAAACAGTTAAAAGTTTCTTTCAGTGAAGATTTTATAAAACTTTTTAAATTGTGTGAAGCGTGGGAAGTATACTGCACCAAAATAAATGACAGGATCATCATATCTAACTGATAAAACAGTGTGACACTGTGGGAAGGGGGTGTTTCTATGATTCATGAGGCAGAGGAAAGAAACAGGCATGTTTGAATGAGATCCACTGTGCTGCTGCAGAATGAGTGGAGATATTGGTGTCAGGAGGCCTAGCTCCTGTTAACACAGTGACATAGGCTCGGGCTCATCCTCCACGGCCTGGATCACTCCTGCAGAGCACTTCTCTGCAAACAGAGATGCAACTCCAGCTAATGAGGGAGAAACATGAGCAATTAAAACAAAATGAATAAAATTGCAAAGTGAAGAGAGAAAAATAAAAACTAATCCAGATAATTCCCCCCATTATTTAAACGTTTAAAGTGAATATGAGCTGGGTGTGTTTTTGTTTTTGTTTTTTGCAGCCCCTCCGTTTAAGAGMTCCAAAACAGGCTCATGTTTAATTCCTCCAGAAAAAGCACCACCGTCCTTGTAAGTTTAGGTCTGACCTGCACATATATGAAATATTTACAGGCAGATAAATTTTTCAGATCAGCACCTTGTCAGTCGACCTCACTGTTTATTTCACCCTGCTTTCATCTGTTAGAGAGTCTTATCCTTTATTTACAACAGGGATGTGGGAAATAGTCTAAACTGGCATTTTTTTATGAAAAAAACAAAATGACCCTCTTGTCAAAAACATTGATTCTTTAATTTTTTTGATGAAAAAGAAATGACATGAGAATGAACAGCTTCCTGTGCAAAAAATGCATTTCATAACCTCACATCTAAACATGAAAAAAAAAGAAAGAAAAAAAAAGCCGAAGGGGGGATTCAGGCTGTGTGCGCGCGTGGAGAGTGCGTAAATGCACATGCACGGAATGGAGAGATAGAGTGGGGAGAAAATGGCGCGTGGGCGTGCATGAGTGTGTGTGGGTGGGAGGAGGAGGAGGAGGGGTGTAATCTGTGAAAATAATATCAGGCTTTTCCGTCAGAATGAACTTTCCTACTGTATCCAGCCATGAAATAATCTGACCCGACACTTCAAACCATCTGCGCTATCTATCCGCCCTCTTATTTACCAAATCAGCCCGTGCACAAAACGGAGTGTGCATGATAGCCTCCTAAAGCCCCGAGTAGCCTGGCGGGGCCAWCATGATTTTATACACACGCATATTTCTTATAAACCTGTTATGATGCAGCGCGCGCAGATGGAGCAATTGTTTTATTGTTTTTTTTTTTTTTTGATATATCAAAATGAAAACTACTAAAATCAGCACCAACAAAATTAGTGTTGCTAGCAGAAAAAATATTGATTTATTAGTCTAATAAATTTGCAGAATTTAAAAATATAGATATGTTTTTTTTTGTCAGCTTAATTGAGAAGCAGTTCAAGGTTGTAAAAAGCTGGCAGCTGATTCACGTTGAAATGATGAGAAAAAACTCCAAATATATTAYGAATGGGTTTGTATAATAAAATAAATGTCATTTTTCTGTTTCTGTTTCTTTTTCTTCTTCTCTTTTTAACAGAAACCCATTGCACTGAAGCTGCAGAATAAATCCAGCCCAGTCACCTGAACCAGGCCATAAACTGAACGTAATATTGTCTCTGATAATAACTGTTTTTACCTTCAGGTTGGATGTTTACAGTCATTTTTCCTCTTTAAAGAAGGATTGTTGCTTCACTGCATCATAAAGACTGAAGAGTTTTTCTTTTACACAAAAACAGGACAGCACACGGCTTCAAAACGCGCAGCAAAAAAAAGGTCAAAATGTTTGTATTATTTTTGAAAAGGGAGGCGCTCAGGTCTCCTTTCCGCCTGATTGGCCGAACTTGACAGTGATTGACGTGTATCTATGGCAACCGAGCAGCCAATCTGCCAAGTCCAATAGGAAATCATCGGAGGGGGGCTTCGCTAGCTGTTTTTTTCCCCCCTCCTCGTCTTCCCCCTCTTTAAAATACATCTCAGCTCGGGTTTTATTTCTCTGCTGCATTCAGTCCCCGGCTACCTTGAAAAAAAAAAATCCACCGCTCGCGCTTTAAAATCTGCGGCTGCAGCCCTTTGCCTGCCAAGTTTGCAAAGCCTGAGGATGCGGTAGCCGGGGCCCCCACCACCACCACCACCACCATCGCCCCTCACACCATCGTCCCCCTCCTCCGCGGCGCTCGGTGCGTGCGTCCTTTCCACGGCTGCTCAGAGCGTTCGGGTCGCTTCTTCGGGTGCCTCGGATTGCCTTGGCGCGCGCTGAGAAGACGCGGAGGAGCGCGGAGGAGAGGAGAAAAGGAGGAGGAGGTGGAGGAGGAGGAGGAGGAGGAACCACGGGAGAAGCCTCCATGTTTCAGCTGCCCATCTTGAATTTCAGCCCCCAGCAGGTCGCCGGGGTCTGCGAGACTCTGGAGGAGAGCGGGGACGTGGAGCGCCTGGGCCGCTTCCTCTGGTCGCTGCCCGTCGCGCCGGCGGCCTGCGAGGTCCTCAACAAGAACGAGTCGGTGCTGAGGGCCCGGGCCGTCGTCGCCTTCCACACCGGCAATTTCCGTGAACTCTACCACATCCTGGAGAACCACAAGTTCACCAAAGAGTCGCACACGAAGCTGCAGGCGCTGTGGCTGGAGGCGCACTACCAGGAGGCGGAGAAGCTGCGGGGCCGCCCGCTGGGGCCCGTGGACAAATACAGGGTGCGCAAGAAGTTCCCGCTGCCCAGAACCATATGGGACGGAGAGCAGAAAACCCACTGCTTCAAGGAGAGAACCCGGCACTTGTTAAGGGAGTGGTATTTGCAGGATCCCTACCCGAATCCCAGTAAAAAGCGGGAGCTTGCACAGGCCACCGGACTCACACCCACACAAGTGGGGAACTGGTTTAAAAACCGCAGACAAAGAGACAGAGCGGCTGCTGCCAAGAACAGGTGAGCTGAGAGCATCCCTCACATCTCCACACCTCATCCAGAGCAGAGTCTACAGACAAACACCTCAGATTATTTAGATTAGAGATTCTGAAACCCATGCCCTTGGAATAAAAGCTCGCGTGAGGCCAAAAATAACATTATTTTGAAAGGGAATAAAATGGCAGCAGGAAACGGTGACAATAAAAATGATCTCATATGCCAGATTAGATTATTGTGAATTTGGATTTCAGTTCAAGTGAACGAATCAACAAAATTAATTTAAAAAAACGCATTATAGTTGATATATTT